GAGTCACTGAAAGGTCCACATTGACATATCATTTGCAAATAAGGTATTCTGTACTTTGGCAGTGTCAGAAAGACTGTTCCTCTACAGTTCTCAAGTAGCAGGGATGCATCAGTGGTGAAGAATTTGGGAACCGTCTAGAAAGTAATCAAGAGAAAGCTAGAACACTTTCAATCCCAGATGCTAATATGTTATCAAGGCTGTTTGGAAAACTTGTTGAATGGGAGAAATATAATAAAAATAATTGTGTAGATAGGGGGCAGTTCATCTGATTGTGTTTTGTTCAGGAAGCATCTTTAAGAGAACGTAATACCTGGAACACACCTAAACTTAATTCGCTCCAATTATCACAAAAGTCTAGTAGCATTGGCTTTAACTTGACTGTTGAAAATACTAGTTATTAACTTTGGAGATGCCATTTTTGTTTCAGATTGAGCCTCAAGAGATAGCAGAAAACAGCTTTTGGGTAAAAGCTGAAGAAGATAAATTTGAAAACCCGGAACTGTTTGCAAAATTAGCGCTTACCTTTGGAACACAAATGAAAGGTACGTTCTTCTATTACTTTGCATTATGCTTTTATTAACTTTAAAACCATGCAATGACAGTCTCTGTTATGCTTTGTGTGATACCATGGAATTCATATAATGGTTTTATAGCAGGAACATGATTTAAATGTATGTTTTTATTAAGCGTAGCAGTCTGTTACAAGAATTGTTCCTCCCTCACTTTCCAGCATGAGGGGAGGCACCTTTTGTAATAATACCTTTTAAAAGTGCAGCGTATGTTGCAGACAGGTGTGAATTTTCTTCAAATTAAATTATAATTAAATTTAATTTCTAATCCTAAAATCAAGCTCATCTGCATTAATATTCCTAGCTGCAGGAACTGTTAAGTTGTCAGGTTCTTTTAGATATTCCACATGTTATGTAACAAAAATTTACTTGCTTGTATCACTCTGCTAAATCAAAATCCTCTACAAGTAAGACTTAGAATGTAGCAATTACAATATGCAGTTGAATCACAAAATCACAACTCTATAATATGCCTACTGTCATGATTCTAGAATATGTAGGTTGAAACCACTGTTCTTTTCAGAGTTGTTGGTTTGTGTCCTTAGTCTTTGCTTTCGCTTTTTTTTAACACTATATGCAGCTCTCTTTTAAGAAAAATGTCTTTAAATATACTCCTTTAATTAGTATTTAAATTTCTGTTGTGTAATCTAAGAAGTACACCCCCCCCCCAAGTTGTATACAGTTAAACTGCATTGTTACTGTCATTAGTGAATGGTGTAAGTTAGTTATCAAAGGGTTGAATGTGTGAGTGCACACTCTTTAAACTGTTTGCATAATACCATGGGAAAGTGTCAGTCTACTGACTTTTTGTTGGAACACAGTGTGAAATGGGTCTGTTTGACTACTAGAGAGAACAATACAGTGAGAATAAAAACTATGCTGGAGCTTTCTGTCAAGTATAACTGAGGCTGCTCAGTACGTCATGTAAATAGCTCTTCTGCTGTTGGTTTTAGATGAAAAAAAATCATTAATTTCTCAAACACTTAATTCCTTCAGTAGGAGATGTGATGATAATATTTATATCTTGAGATGGGAATACAGTTACTAACAGCTGAATATTGGTTATGATTTTGATACTTTAATACCATCCTTAGCTTTTCATGGCTTTCAAATGGTCTTTGAATACTTCTGAAGCTGCACACAGCCTCTTCAAGTCTTTTCATTATTATCCATGGTTAATGGTCAATTGATCGGTATTTCATATGTGGCCATTTACTGGTAATTTGTTTCAGGCACTGAAAAGAAGCAAGTACTGTTGAAGCATGGTTCAATAATAACTTACTCAGGAGCTAACGAGGAAGCCCAAAAAATTAGAGTCCAAGAAGTGGTAGATACTGAAAGAATGAATTCCTGATCTAGCTACAGATCTTTTGTCCATTTATCAACCAGTTAGAATACAATATACTTTAGGGATGTGCAGTTCTTGAAGGTGGAGTCAGATGTATCAAACGTTCATAGGTCAGACCTGAATAAGCAAGCACACGCTTAGGATTCTGAAGTGAATGTGTGTACTGTCAGTAAGCATTTTTGTGCTGCTGGGTTTTTTTACTTTAACTTTTTGGCCTTGAGAACTAACAATTCATGTGATGCTTTGTATTTTAACCATAGGGAGTCTTCTATTTAATTCAAACCACTAGAATGCTCTTACTTCTATCAATTACTTGAGGATTTTATTACTTCAAAATTAACTTGTATTGCACGTAGGGGTTTGTGGTATCCTGGCTGTTGCCTGAATTTCAGGAATAACAACTGCAGTTTTTACTAATACAGTGTTTGAAAAGTTAACTCAGGGTTAGGATGGTCTCTCAGAGGACCATAACTTTCCTGAACCATTTCTTGAGTAGATTCCTCGAGTTATTTCTGAATATGTCTTTTCCTGTGCTCTTTAGAAACCCCTTCAAAGAATTAGTCATAGCTGTGTTTTTCATAAGATAAATATACAGTTCTTTCACTCAGAGCTCATGCTCTTTTCAGTAGTTGCTGAATTTGAGCCATTAGTATTCTGCTTTTACAATGCTTCCCACTTTCTGCTCTGAATGTTCAGATAGTACATGCAGTAATGCAAAAGCATCATCTGCAGTAATTTAATGCTTTTTTCCGTACTGAAGTTTGATAGATTCTTGGTTCGTAGCATTGCAGTGAGGTTAAAATGATGTGGAGTTCGTCACTGGCTTTAGTGTGAAAGCAAGACAGGAAAACCTTTAAGGGAAAGAACCCCTAGCAGCAGATAACACTTCCAGTGGAACGAGACCCTTCTTAATGAAAACGACAAGCTTCTGCCTTGAGGTGAATTCTTTCATCAGAAATCTGAAGAAATGTTCCTGAATTTCTGAGAAGTTTCTTCATTAAAAATGCTGAAAAAACCCTCTTGACATTTTGACATAGCCGTCAGTTTCATAGGAGAGGAAATTCTTGTTGCACAGTTCTAAAACTATGAACAACAGAAATTTTCCAAATAGCTTACTGTGGTGATAGCCTTGCAGGTATTTTTCCTGTTCTTCCTTATGTTGTTCTCGGTTAATGGTTGTAGAAAATAACATGCCATAACAAAGGATGGGAAGACTGTTAAAAATGCTACTACATGTTACCCGGGATATTAAAATTTTAATTGGCCAACTAGTAGAGAAAGTGTTGTCTCTCTTTGAATTCAAGTTTTCCTTAAAACTTGAAAACCTACTAGAAGTCAAGAAGAGTCTCAGAGCATTTAGTTGCAGTACAGGCTGAAATAATTGCATTCCACAAGCGACTTTTTTCTGCAACTGCTATCTGCAAAGGGAAACGTTAGATGATATTCACCATTCTTTCTCACCTTTTGTCTTACCAGCCACAAGGCAGCTCATTAATCCCCAAAATACTTATTTAAAGCATAATCTAGGATCAAATTTCTCTTCTGCTTTAGTCCCATTTCTTGGTGTGGTCTCCTAATATATTACAGGAGAATGATAGAAAGACAAATAGAAATGCATTTTATATTCTCTCAAGAGCACAGTCAGCATGTAAAACAAATAAATGGATGAGTGGAAGAAAACTGACAATTGTCAAAAGCAATTGTGAAGATTGAGTGTTTACTATCTTGTATTTCATGGCATTTTGGAATGCCAGTGGGAATAGCAACTGAAGTAAAACAAACGATAGTATACACACTTATTAAAAATTCGTAATTCTATATAGGTTGCAGCACTCAAATTTGATTAAACCTCTGAATTCTATTCATGAATTCTATTCATGATTCTCTGGCACAATGAGAATGAAACTTTGGGGGTTTTCCTCATTTAACACAGTTTTGTTTTAAGATAATCGAAGAATAACTTAATGTTTGCCTCGCTGAGTACTGCCTGTTTTCAAGGAAGACATGCCAAAGCTGCAGGGAAGTGGTACTTTTGGAGACCAAAAGTATGTGGGGAGAAGTCATAATAAGACACTTCTGAAGCACAATTTTCATTAGTTAACAAATTATTGCATTCATCAGTTAGCTGCTTCTAAAACATAAGAATGTTTAGTCACAGAGCACCAGGAACAAAAAGGAATGATCCCCGACTGGTAAAATAATTTTACTTCGACTATACTTAGATCCAAACTTTCTTTTAAAACGTATGCGTAAGGTTAAATCTTTACTTGCTACTGTAACATTAGATATTTAATACTGATGCCCTGTGAATATGTAGAATGTATTTAGTTAGGTTCAAATCAGCACTAACAGTCAAACCGCAGTATTTGGTCTGTGAAATCAAGTTGCTGAGCACAGTTATGAAAACATCTGTTGTACAGGGAGCAATAGAAACATTACCAAGTATTGCCTTTTGGACTTGACAGGATTTTGAGATCTTGGGGTTTGAACTAAGTTAACTGAGATCTTATTATCACTGTCTCAGTACAGTCAGAAAGGATTTTCTCCATTCTTCTTCAAGAGAAATACAGATGATCCTAATAGAATAATCCTGACAAATGGACTCCAGGGCTTCAAATTTTCATTAAAGGTCTTCGATGAGTGTTTTGAGCATGGAACTGTGCTTCCAGATGCAGAGATGGAGACAACGATTATAGTCTCACAGGCCATTTTGGCAAGTGAATAATATTGCAGATCAGGCATGCTTGAAAATGAATGGGCAACTGTGGTGGTTGTTAATGAGTTGGGCGCTATTAAGATGTGGGACAGTTACTGCGTTGTGGGTGGCAGTGGAACGCATAGATGCGTATTTCCCTCTGTAGCTGCACAGAGGAAAAGGGTAAAGAAGGTATTCGTTTCCAATCAGTTACTTGTTTTCTTTTGACCTGGTTAATTCCAAGAGAGAATCTGATATCATCCAGAATTTTATTTTGTGAATCATGCATTGCTTTAAAGTGAAAGCAGTGATTCTGCTGGTGAAAACATGCATCATCTTTTTATAGTTTTTGAGTCACGACTTGAAAATTTCAGGCTCAGTAGTATTTGGTTTGCAAAATAATCTTATCATGGATTGATTTGTGTTTTGATATTTAAATAGCAAGAGGAAGGAATTCTACTGAGGTATTGTTAGCTCAACTGTATCTTCTTATTTTTAAAACAGTTAAATCTTACCTGCAAGCAACAGTCTCTTCAGACAAGTTTTTTTTTTAAACAAGTAGGATAACCTTTACAAAAAAACCTTAAAAGGTTTTCTTCCTTTTTAAAACTTGTCTGATTGATATTAAGCTTTGTGTGATCACAAAAATATTTTCTTAATTAAAAAAAAAATCCTTTCCAGTTTAAGGAGTATAAAGAAAATGTGAAATGAACTCAATGAACAGTCCTCCTTATCTGGATTACATAGTGTGAACCCTGCAGTATTTCTTAATAACTGAAGAGAGGAGACCCAAGCGATCAGATAAATACACCTTGTCCTTGTGAGTCTATTATGTGATCTGAAGTCGTTAATTTCTGTTGATGCACAGTGAAATGATGAGGTGCGTTCTCAACTAAGAATGCCTGCTTGTGCATGTCTTTAGATGGTCCC